TTTTTTTTTTTTTTTTTTTTTTTTTTTTTTGGCACCAGGGATCAAACTTGGGTCCTTGTGCTTGCCAGGCAGGTGGCAGAACCACTGAGCTAAATCCCCCGCCCTATACCTTCTTCTTTTGTTTTAAATCTATATGAGGAACAAAGCAGACACTTGCTGAAATCCACCACCACCACTCCCAGTCCTAAATCCTCCTATCCCATGGATTGGAAATAGTTTGGATATGTCCACCAGAGGTTCATGCACTGGAAGCTTGGTCTTCATTGTAACAGTATTGAAAGTAGTGAATCTTTAAGACATGGGGTCAAATGGAAGGCAATTGCTACAGCTCTTTCAGGACACAGTTCTCAATGGGCTGGGTTGTTATAAAGCAAGACCTCCCCACATACTTAGCCCCTCTGCATGCAGCTATTTCCCTCTTCACTCCTCTACCATGCTGTAAATGGCCAGTGGAGTCCTCACAAAAGCCTGGCACCATACTGTTTGAACTTTACAGCCACCTGAACTGTAAGCCACATAAACGTCTTTAATTTATGTAAGCTGCCACCTGGTATTATGTTATACCAATACAAAACAGATTAAGACAGCCTTTCTGCAGACACAAGGAGGATTATCACTGTATGGATGACAGTAAGCTTCAGCTCATACTGCTAGTGTTGCCCCTGAAAATGCCAGTTATGGAAGCAAACAGCTGCATCACCATGGAGCGACCAGCAAGGAGAACAGCAGGGATTCTTACCGTGGGCAGCATGAAGCCACACTCGTGGTTATTGACTCCAATGATAGAAGGCACTGCTTTAAATGTTTTCTGAGACAGTATTTCTAAAGGCTCATCAGGAAAGAAAAGACCATCAACCACTCCATTAAAAGACTTTGTTTTCTGAAATAAGGAAGAGAAGAAAAATTAGCAGTTAATATCTATTCACAAATATGCTGTCCCCAAATCTTAGTCAAGATAATCCAATCTCATCAAACAATGGTTAAAATGCATTTAAAAAGGAAAAGCATCCCAGCCCCTTGAGAGGCTGACACATGATTTTAAACCTGAAGCCAGCCTGAGCAACTTCATGAGACCATGTTTCTAAAATGACAAATAGAAAGGGCTGAGAATGTATCTCAATGGTAGAGTACCCTGGGTTCAACACTTAGTGCTGCAGAAAAATGATAAAAGGAATCACTGTTAGCCCATCTTGCTGTTTCAATCCCTGGCATAGGAGCATAAGACAAGTATCCAGTCTTATTAACTATCCAATGATAGAAAGTTTGCCCTTGGTGAGCCAGACCTTGCTTGAGTATCTGCAAAGATGAGCATCTTTCTAAAGAAGCCCAGAAACTTTTGCAGAAAATTGAAGTTTTAGGACATTCTCAGTTATACTGAGCCAAAGTGGCTGTGCAAGAAAATGTCCAGCTACCAGTTTTGACTTTGGCATCTGGGAACATGTGGAATGAGTGTGGTCCCTCTTCAGTGTCTTAGGGACAACCCTTGTAATTTGCTAGATCTTCTTCAGGGTGGGCACCACCTCTGTCCCATCAAGTTCATTAAATAGCCTATAAAAGTTCTATACTCTACATCATTTTATTACAGGTATTACCATGAATCCCCAGCCTTCTCTTATTCAAGTCCTAAATCAAAACAAATAACAGAGAGGTAGGATTTATCTACCACAAAGGGCAAGCTTACCTCAAAATCCTCCCTTCCTGCCTCACCTGGCCAAGGTTCAGCAAGTCATTGGAGGATTTTGCCTGCAGGCAGTTCAGAAGAGCCTGGGAGTCTGACGCATTGCAACCACAGATATCTGCAACCATCTGCAACTATTTCCAGAGAAGAAGCCAGTCAGCACAGCACTGAAAGTATCCAAGAAGCGCCCTCTGACTAGTCACAGGCTGGTCCTTCATGTGCAAAGCTCAGCCTGCTGCCCCTTCCCAGTCCCACGCACCTCTGTGGAATAGACTCATTAAGGACAGGTTGGAACAACACTGTGCCAACTCTCCTGCCTGGCCTCTGTGCTTCTTAGGAAATAACAAAGCTGCGGGGGAGTTGCCAGTCTGAGACTCTGGATTGGAATGATGACTCCTGGTCATGAAGAGAACAGCCCTGTGAGCTCAGCTGTACCTCATGGTACCCAATGGAGGTTTGAGCCTCAAGAGTGAGCAGCAGCTTTGCAATCTCCTTAATCGTCAATTGAGGCATGACTCTGGGTCAGTGCTTTGTCAACTCTGCTCGAGCTCCAGCCCTAGCACAGCTAAAGGTCTTTTTTCAGTTTCTACACCCACATCACTTATTCTTTTTTTCTTTTTAACGTTTCACAATCATAAATTTATATTTGTTTCTATTTACTTTCTTCCTAACTTATTATCCCAGGCAAACTCCTGCCTCTCCTGAAATATCCTTTCAGAGCACTGCAGTCCCATAGCTTCTTCCTCCCCTACCCTCCTATCACCCCAGTGGTCCCACATTTCCTGCCTAGCCTTATTACCCTTTGCCCTGTCATTGGACTTCTATACTTATAAGAATTTATCTTTTGAGAGAGAAAGGTCTTAATCTTCTGGGAGACTTGCAAAAATGTTGTAGACTTTCTCTCTCCCCAGGAAAAAGCCAAACATAGAGTTTGCATACAATTGTAGAAAGTTCAAAGATAGCCTATCCGTATTCCCCACATTAAAAGAAAACTTAGTAATAGAAAGATAATAGTCTTCAAGAGTTTAAGACATGACTTCTCCACTTATAGACCTGTAAGTCCATAATAGCACTGGGAAAACAGTGAGCACTCAATAAATTCCTGGTGAATAAAAAAAAGTGTGTACAAACTGCTAGTAGGTTTATATATAATATTGACAAAGTTGGTATTTTCTGTGTATTGAAGGTGCATTCACATACAGTAAATACTCTATATTTCTCCTTTTGGTGTAAAATGCTATTGCCTATACAGTATTTAAGAAAATGCAACACACAAGCCAAGCATGATGACACTCTAGTACTCAGGATCCCTTCATCACGGGAGTTTGAGACCACTCTGGACAACATAATAAAACACTATTTGAAAAAGAAAGAAGGAAGGGAGAGAGGGAGAGAAAGAGAAAGCAAGAAAGACAGAAAGGAAGGAAAGAGAGGCAGGGAGGGAGAGAGAGAGTGAAAAGGAAAGGAAGGAAAGCGTAAGAAAAAGGAGAAAGAGAAAGAGATAGTGGAAGGAGAGAAAGAGGAAGACAGGGAGAAAGAGAGAATCAGAAGAATTTACCCAAAAAATGATTAATACCTAGGAGATGATTCCACTGCCTAGTGCTTAACTAATATTCATTGAATAAATCAGCTCATTCATTCACTGAGAGCACATTTGTGGCTGCTTGATATATGTCAGCTATGCTGGTGGCATAAAGGACAGAGAAACTTTGGTTTCCAGATCCTTACTATCAAATAGAGGATTAATATAACATGAGAGATTACAGATACTTATGACATATGCTCCATCACCCCTCTCACAATCCCATGCCACATACCATTAGTCACTCACAGTGTTATGTCCTACTGAGAAAGAACCAGCCTTGGAATCTTCCATAACAAAGTACCACCATAGGTAAACATTCCATGTAAAGTAAGTACAGAAGATAAGATGAGATGCACAGAATACTGCGAACTGAGTCATTACACACAAAGAACAATGGGATACTGTGTAAGAAGTCTAACACATATCTGAACACACTAAGCACAACAGAGAAGTTGCACTGTATAACTGGACCCATTTTTTATTGAACTAGGCCTTCCATTGAGGAACAGGGTTCCCTTTAGGCCAACATGAGATTCTTTGGGCATGGCCAATAAGGAAAGCCAAGAACATGATAAGAAAGGTGCAGCCTGGATTCCTAATCACAATGTCTCCTGACTAAGGAGGTATTAAAAATATACCTACATCCTTACTCTTTTCATCAGGATTCCTCAGGTTAGGCATGATGGCCACTCCACTCTCCATGATGGCTTTATGAAATAATCCCTTGGCCAAGGGAGACAGAACCTGGAGAGAGAACACAAGAAACACAGAAAAGTTGCCCCAGGAATCCCCATGCACCCCACATATTACCCATCCCATCTTCAAGGAAATCTTCCCAGGGAGGTGCTGACTTGGGGACAGGCAGGGTTCCAGTTCAGGGATTCAAAGACTAGTTGTGAAGATGATTTAACCTGTCTGAGGACTTGATTCCTCATGAACTTTTTAGCCAAGCATTCTGCTCCTTCACTTTCTTGCTGGGTTACCACTGACAAGTTGCCTAATATTTTAAAGTATCAGTTTACCTTCCTGTAAAACTAGAGTAAAGATTGAGCCCGTATCATGGAACGGTTGTAAGAAATGGAGGAAACAGTGAATATGACAGTCTCCACACAGTGCCTGGGAAAATTTCACTTACAAAATGTAGCTGTTATTTTATATGAAAGGTTAGGCTAATATAGTCACCATAGAAGGTAATTTTGAATTTATAAAAAATACCTTACACATTGTCAATTGCTGTACAGCTGATGGCCTCTTAACCCACTACCATGTGATTAATTTCTGTAATTAATCACTCAGACATAGTGGGCCATTTTCTAGTATCTCCATATATTTCTATTTACCAGTTTCTTGCCAAGAGTGAGATATATTTTCTTCTAAACTTGTTTTTTTAGTTGTGCTTATTATTATAATTATATAATCAATGGAATAGGACAGGAGCCAATGGATTATGAAGGTAAAAAGAAAGCAAAATTGTGTCCAGGGGAAAGAAAGAAAAAAACCTTGATATAGCCAATGGCTAAATATAACTGCTGTCAAATTAGGTATGGATGAGAGAAGAGTGAAACATTTGGTAGGAAAGTATAAAATTCCAGAGTAAGTGGTAGTCCAGCTACTTTAAATTTGTATTTATTAAAGGAAAATGAAACTGTGGCTCAAGGGAAATGGATTCTGGCTGTGTGTTACATGAAAGGATCCGTGTTGGACCTCTGGTTAACAGAATAAACACCCTGTACGGAGCCATTGATAAGGGGTGTACACTTTGTGCTTTAAGTTAAAATAAGCTGTTTGTATGTATACATCTTTTGTAATTTCATGGTCTCCCTGAGTTTTTCTATTAAGCAATACCATGGTTTGGGTATAGTTTGGGTATCTTTCAAGCATCCAAGTATGGAGACTAGGCCTTCAGGGGCATAGTATTGGGAAATAGTATGAAACATTTAAGAAGGTGGGCCTAGTGGGAGACCAGCAGAGATCTTGTCCACCCAAAGGGATTAAAGTTGTTCTCACAAGAATGCTGTTCTAAAAGAAGCAACCCTGACTCCACGCAGCTCCCTATGCCTCCTGGTTCAACATGTGATGCTTCCTCGTACACACACTCCCGCCATGATGTGATACCTTCTACTGTGCTCAGCAGAGCCCAGCTGATGGGACTGCCTAAACTTTAACTGTGAGCTAAATAAACCTCTTATTTTATAATTAACCTGCCTCAGGCATTTCTTTATGATAATAAAAACTTAACTAATGCTCAAGTGGGTGAAGCCAGGATCAGGGTGAAATTGAGACTTACTGATAGTACAAGATTTAATCATCCCCTTCCAGAAACATCTCAAAAAAGCTAATACACCTAAGTAATTGGCAGCCCTGGTAAATGGATGCTAGGATTTCAACTTTATAAATATAAGGGATTTTTTTCCTCAAACTATTATTCATTATATGACCTTAAGAGATTAATTACAAACTCCCCCAATGATAGCTGCCTCACCCATAAAATGAGACTGTACCCCTAACTCACACTTGTATCATCTGTAAGACTCAAGGGAAGTGTTATGACTTGTGTTGAAATGTCCCCCTGAAGCCTCATGCGATCATAGGTAGGGCTTTTTCAGATGTGGCTGGATCTAGAGTTTGTGATGCCAGAATTGATTCATGGTGCAATGCGAGGCTCAAGGGCACTAAGTGAAGAAAGACAATGTTAAGGTCCCTTGTTGCTTTGCTACCTTTTATCTCCCACCTACTGTTTCTCCTCTGCAGCCCCTGTCTGCCATGCCAATCTGCCTTGGAGCCAGCTGATTAAGGATTGAAACCTCTACAAACTGTGAGCTAAATACATCTTTCCTCCTTTAAATTGGGTGTCAGGTATTTTGTCTCAGCAATGTGAATAAAGTAACTAAGACAGGAGGCAATATGTATAAAAGTGTTTGTTCAACATGAAACCACTAATCAAATGTAAGTAATTGATCACCCTCACTTTTGTCACCTCCCCCATCAGGTTTGTTAAAGTCACAATACATGAAACTCATGAGGCTGGAAACACTTATGGCTTCTGCTGACTCGCCGAAGGTGGTCACAGAGCCTGGGTCCCCACCAAAGCTTTTGATGTTCTCCTGGACCCAGGACAAGGCAACCAACTGGTCCATGAAGGCCCAGTTTCCTGGGGCATGCTGGTCCCCTGTGCTGGACAAAAGAAGAGAGATAAGAACTCTTAGTTGGCAGCTCTGTTTCCTGCAGTCCAGGGAATTCTCAGAAGAACCCAATGGCAGATGACAGCTAGGACAAGGTTGAGAATCACAGTCCTGGAGAAGGTGGAAAACCAAGTCCTGGTAAACCAAGCTTAGCTCTCATTCTTTGCTGGGCTTCTGGTTTCATTGAGAATCTGATGAATACTCTGCACCTCAGAAAATGCATACACAATATTGTATGCATGATGCCCAGTTGTCCCTAGGCACCCCTGAATCCATCGATCACAGAAAAGTCCTGCTCTTGTGAATGAGTCTGTACCAATGCAGCAAGACCTTCCTGGACACATAGATTCCAATGAATGACAGTTAATAACTATATAACAATTGCTATAGACATAAGATGTGCCCAAAACTGTTCTAAGGATTTAAAGTGAATACTTTACAATTGTCACAACCTGTAAGGCAGATAGGTTTGACCTTTCTCCCTTTGCCTTCTTTCCACCATTCTCTGCCCTGCACCCAAAAGGTTAACCTCTAAGAACCGCATATTCTAGGCTTCAGCTCTGTGTCATCAGTGGGAGGTATGGACAGATGCTTGAGGGTGGATAGAGAGAAACTTGAGTATTCATCCCACTACTACATGCACCTTCTATTCTATGAAGTGGTTTTGACAGAAACTACATTTCTCCACTGCTACAGCTTGTACACATACCCTTAAGTCTGTGAGCATGCCATCAGGATAACAATGGATATATGACCTTCTGCAAGCAGATTAGGGGATTCAGGCACAGAGAAGTTAAACCCCCTTGTGGGGTGGGGCAGGGACAGTGCTAGAAAGTTGCAGAGTAGGGATTCAATGAGTCTGCCCCAGAGTCCCTACCCCTAACCACACCTCATGCTCTGGCCCCTACATAATTACATGTTTCTCAGAATTAATGGACTATTCATGGGAAACAAGTGAAAATGCCACAGAACCAAGGAAATGCCTAAAGACATTCATGTAACGCACCTGTGTGCATAATCTCAGGATCACACAGTACTTCCCAAAATTATCCAGTCCCCTAAACTCTCTCTCCTCCTGGGTTCTCTTCTCTGTCCATGACCCATGGGCTGGCTATGGCTACACCTCTCACTCCAGACCTCTCCAAGCCCTGCTAATTTCACTTCCATTCCACTGTGAACCCCACATCAGTCTCATTTTCTGTTTATCCTGAGAAGAACTACACCTCAATGTTTAAGATCTCAGCCTCCAGCACAAGATTCATAATGTAGCCACTATGGTGGGTAACACTGCACAAGTCATTTAACAAAGTTGGCCTCGATATCTTCATGTTGAAAGTGAGAATTATAACGTGCCTGTTGCACACGGTTTTTAGGAAGAGTGACAGTACCAAACACACAAGTGTCATAACCCTGTTAGCAATTGTTTTCATGATTCAAACCCCTTATAGCCTGCATCAAGATTGGGCAGTAGGGTCCCAAATAAACTCTCTATCTGCAGCTAAGCACACTATATCCAGCCTCCACTCTGCATGGAGTGAGATTCCTGGTGCACTGCTATGAGCAGGGTACTTCTGGGTGCCTCAGTCTTTAGAAGATAAAATCCAAATACCATGAGTGACCTGCTATTCAAGGACTTGCCCAATCAAGCCTGACCCTGTCTTTCATATCTATCTCCTACTATATCCTCACCTACCTATGCTCAAACCAAGATAATATGATCTATTTCTGGAAACCAGTTCCTCTCTGCCAAAGGACTCTTACTGAGAATGCTACTGTATAAAGCAGTTAAAAGTGTAACTGACCAAGTCAATGACTTCATAGCAGTCCCAGAGCCACCTCCCACTGCTATAGGCTCCAAGCATTCTATGTAAATATTTCTGCAGCCCCATGTATTGATATATCCCTTGCAGCCTCCCAGCCTTGGCTTAGGTAGCATCCTTAACTAAGCATATTCTCTCCCAAACCCAACCACATCTTTCAGGCACAACTAGAATACCATCTCTCTAAGGAAGCTCTGGATCCCTGGCAGCTCCCTCTTCATTTCCACACTCTCTTGCCTCTCACTTCTGGAGAATTAATCCTGTTCTGCCTGGCACCATGGAATTGTATGCACCTGCACTGTCTCCTCCACTGGTCCATCAGCATCCTGGAATAGGATTCCTATGTTACTATCTCCTGCCATCTCTACAGCATGTGACAGTAGCCTCAACTCTCACTGCTCCTCTGTTGCTCATGTTGCAATTCGGATTCACACTGCCATGCTGCAGGCAGGATAAATGAGGTGGTCAAGAAGTCCATCCCTGCTCTGTGACTGGGGACCTGTATAACTTCTCTATGCCTCCATTGCTCAGCTGCAAAACTGGAATAACAACAGAATATTTCTTATAGTATCAAAGAGTGAATGCAATAACATATGACAAGTGCAAGTATCAGGCTGGTTCTCAACAAATGGCTAGTACAAAGTAGGTCTTAGGGCGGGGTGAGGGGCAATGCAGTGGAGGGATTATTCTCAGAGGAGCATTCGAGGAGCCAACTGCTCCCACAGCCTGTTCCTTTATCTCTCAAGCTACAGATCTGGGCTACATTTCCATGTGAACTTACAGATAGATTTGCCCATGTGATTGAGTTCTGCCCAGTGGTATGTAAGCAGGAGTGATGAGTACTACCTTCAGACTGACCCAGGAAAACTTTCTGGACTAATCCTCCTTGCTTTTCTGCCATCTGCTGGTAAATGCAGGTCTGCAGCTCTAGAGAATCCACATCGGAGCCTATGGAAGGAGCCCAGGTCCCTGACTGACCCTGTGGAAGGATGTCTGTCAATCAGGGATATTCACTTGGGCTTTACTGAGAAAGAAACTTTTAATTGTTTATAGGCATGAAGAGTTGGGATTTATCTGTCAGCTACTAAAATTACTTAAAAATTAGAGTTAAATTTGTTTAATGTCACTGAAGGCTTCTTTCTCTTTAGGTTTCTGGACACTGCCCACAGCTGCTGCACAGCCTCTGGGGATCTATAGTGTCAGTCACTCAGAGATACTCACTTGAAGAAGCCAAATATTCCTAGCCGGTACTGTGTGGTTAAAACCAGCACATCCTCATAGGCAGCTAGGGCAGATCCATCAAAGATGGAGGCTGAGCCATTCTCAAAGCCGCCCCCTAGGAACCACACCATGACCTGTGAAGGGGAGCAGAATACACTAGTCAGCCCACCAGGCATCCACATCACCTCCCAATGCATGCTGGGATACTCTTTCTTCAGAAATTGCAAATGTCTCTTTTGGGGGGGTACCAGGGATCAAACTAGAGCCCTTGTGCTCACAAGGCAGGCAGCAGAACCTCTGAGCCAAATCCCTGGCCCTCATGTTTCATTTTCTTTTCTAAGTAGGATCAAATATTTCTTCTTTTGAAAAAGGCCCATGGTTAAGCATACAGGCATCTAGACAGATGGGTCTGATTCCCAGCCTTTGCACTGACTAGCTGTGACCTTGAGCAGATTATTCAACCTCTTTAAGGACTTTTTCTTTTCATTTGTAAGTTGTGAAGAATAAAAGTATCTCACTTAGGAGGTTAGTGTGAGGTCTGAACAAGATTCTGCATCTGATGCTGATAAAACATTGCTGGTTCACTCACGTAGTCAGAAAGCATTAACTAAATGTCATTAGGCCTGTGACATAAAGGAAGATGGAAATAATTATAAGTCATGAATAAGCAAAAGCAGTTTAAGATTCTACCATCAGAGATAAGAGAGAAGACGGTAAAGGGAAAGTGACACATGGAAACCTTACTTAGAAAAATCAGGACCTGGAAACATAAAACATTCTTCAAATAGTATTATCATTATTTATATGTTTAGTAATAAATCCTCAGGACAAAAAAAAATCAACACACAAAAACCAGTAACTTTCCTGTATACCAATAATGAACTCACCAAGAAAAAAAAAATCAGGAAAAGTTTTCCATCCACAATAGCTTCAAAAGAACCAAATACCTAGGTGTCAGCCTAACAAGAAGGTGAAAGACTTCTAAAATGAAAATTAAAGAACCCTGGAAAAACTGAAGAAGACATTAAAAGATATTAGAAAACAGACAAACATCCCTTGTTCTTGGATAAGAAGAAATAATGCCATGCAAATGGCAATATTATCAATAAAGAGATCTGTAGATTTAATGCAGTCCTTATTAAAATACCGAAACATTCTTCACAAAACTAGAAAATATTCTAAAATTCATATGGAGTCAGAAAAGTCTCACAATAGTCAGAGCAATCCTGAGTAAAAAGAGTAAAAATGGAAGCATCGCAATACCAGATTTCTAGTTACATTACCAAAATAACATGCTACTGGCACAAAAGCAGGCATGTAAATCAGATGTGGCAGTGCATGCTAGTAATTCTGCACTCTAGAAAACAGGCAGGAGCAACACAAATTTGAGCCCAACCTGAAGAATTTACCCTCTCCTGATTTTTTCTAAAAAAAAAAAAAAAAAAAAAAAAAAAATGGGGGAGGGGAATTAGCTCGATGCAAAGGCCCTGGCTTCAGATCAATTCCCAGTAACACCACACACATACATACACCCACAGGGCATGGGCACACACACACACATGCACATATACACACATACACACGCAGAGAAAGAGAGAAAGCAGACATGGAGACCAATAGAATAGAGTAGGAGATACAGAAGCTACTCTATGTATTCACTTCTACAGGGATCTTCTACATCCTTAGATGAAATACTTAACATTATTATCTGTTTAAATTATAAATGGCAAAGTTGGAGGATAGAATTGCCCGCTTTAAAAGTTCTCAATTTTTTTAAAAAAATCAGGGTCCTGTTAAGCCATGACTCTCCTGAAAGTTGATAGATCATTCAATATTCATCAAAGAGAAAAAAAAACAAAATTAAATAAAAAGCAAAGGTCAAGTCACTGCCAATGAAGAGTTAATCAGAAAGATGATAAAGCGAATTACCCATTATAATGACTTTTTAAAACAAGTTATTGATGTGGTTACATTTTCCCTTTATTCAATAGAGGTCAGGTCTGATTCCAGACACCCCACCATCCCACCTGCATCCCAAGCCAGCAACATGCTATCTGGAGCCCCAAGCACAGCAGACAGCCTTACAGGGAGATTGGAGCCCACATCAGCATGAGCTGGTGCATAGATGTTAAGGTACAGGCAGTCTTCCGACACTTCAAGTTTGGGGTAATGCACCTTGAGAATGCGTTGATTTAATAACATCCACTCCAAGCTCTGGAAGCATCTTAAAGAAAGGGAGATAAAAAAGCCCCCAGAACTGTAATCAGTAAATCTGCCCAGGAGGAACTAGTACTTGAGACAGCAGTAAGGACTGGCCATTCTTTCTGAGCAGGAGACATGCCCAGCCCTCATAATTTTCAAAACAAACAAACTCACAAGAAGACCATTATCCCCTTTGATCTGGTTCCCATTGCATCATCAACCCCAGCACACTCCCAAGCCTACAACCATGACCATAATACAGGCACATAGAAAGACTCAAGCTGGCTCAACAATTCCCCAAATTATACAAGGCAGGACACTGAGTTAGTTATCAATAATTTCGTGCTTGTTCCCTCCTCCGTTCCCAAATAAGCAAAGGGATATTTCCGGGCCTCTTTACCAAGAACCTACTGATGTACATTTGCAAACACACTCCTGTATCCAGGTGCTATTCAATCTCCCTCTGCCTAAACCGTCTTTCCATACCTGCTGCCTCACATTCTTCCCTTTCTTTTGGATTCAGTCCAAGCACCACTTCTTCGAAGAAGTCTTCTAAGAAGACCCCAGTTAGACCATAGCTCTTATTTGGAAAGACCTGTACAATGTGTATTCTGATCTGGAATTTGTCCTAGGCTTATCTATGAACATTAACTCTTACCCAACTCAACTGTGAGCAGCTAAAAGCCTAAGGCTCTGTATCAGTCATCAATGTACTGTATAACTCCTAGCCCAGAGCTTGGCATACAGTGAGACTGAGACTGTATATGCAGATATCCCTACCATACTAAGTTATCATTTAATGCTTCTTAATAAATAGTATATACAGCATGGACAATGGGAAGCCATAGCTGTCATCTATCCTTTTTTGAATATTGTTTATCACAAGTCCAGACCTCACGGCTTTCAGCAAAGTCGTGGCTTGTCTTTCCTGAAAGCTGGGCACCTTCTAAGGGGAAGTTCTCTGTGATTCTTCACCCTTCTCTGCCCAGTATGGTTTTCTTGTCACCTTATATTTTAATTGCCAGTTACTGCTTATGCCTTACCACCACCACCAGTCTACATGCTTCTTGAGGGAAGCTATGACTCCTGTCCTAAATTATGATTTTTTCACCTCTATAATGGTGCAAAAGCAACATACATTAGTAGAAACCATACTTTAAGTTTTGAATTTTAGTCTTTTCCCAGATAACGGTATGCAGGCTGATGCTCTCAAGATACTCAGCAGCAGCCATTAGCCAAAGCTCTCGACCACACAGTTACAAGGGGAAACAACCAATACTCTACAGAGTACTATGTGACTAAGCTGTAATGTTTGGTAGATTACATATAGCAAATGCATTTTAACCATGGATCTACTAGGATATGAACTTGTAATAAGTCAGAAAACATCTGTAATTCATGTTCCCCAAGGTAACGGAGAACAAATTATTTAGTTGGTTCTCAATGAATGAATGAATGAGTGAAGCAGCAAACCAGTTTTGTCTTTCTGTCATCAGTCCCTGGACCACATGAAGTCATCGTGGAGCATCCTGACCCCAATTTATTCCTTCCCCCTAGGACCCTAATGCCAGCATCCAATGTGGCCCAAGCTAAGAACTTCACAAAATCTTCCAATTTGCGGGGATTTTAAAGTCCAGCTGCCCACTCAGAAACCTCATCCCATTTCTCCATAATTAACCGGATAATTTATTACCCACGCAAGCTTGCAAATCTGCAGTGACTGGGAGCTCCCTTACTTTCTAGGTCCCCCGTGTCACAGAGACATTTATGTAATCATTCCACAGGTTTCTGTGGAGTTCTTCTGTGGGCCAGAAATTGCATTGAGCACAGTTTTGACTGTGGATATGGTTCTTCCCTAAAGCCCTACCCTAGTCTCACCATAGAGGCTGGCTGTGAGAGGTCACACAGAACCCTGGGATGATCCCTTTCAACCAAAATACTCAGGAAGCCCTTCATAGTACTTCCTAAATCTGGTTGGTGTTTAGAGTTCCCAGAAAGCTTCGGATCATAAAGATTCCTAGACAGACAGTGAGACTGAAGAAACTCAGATTCAGAAAGGTCAGAAGGGGCAGCAATGCTAGTGATCAGCCAGTTTAGGAGCCCTGAGATACTGAAATGCTTGCCTAAAACAATGGCCCTCCCCACCCCCTCTGTCTTTCTGATACTCACTCTTGCTCTCTTTTGCCCCTGGGCTGCATGACCTTTGTTCCCATTCAGTGATTTTTTTAATCCCCATCTCTCAGAATTACAGGATGCCCATAGAACCGAGCTGTGACTTACAATGCAGGGTAGGAAGTGGCCTCTAGCAAGTCATTCCAGGGCACTGCTGGCTGTGGGTTTGCAAATCGCAGGGATCCAAGAGGGGGCACTGCAAAGGGTATTCCAAGAAACACATTTACAGGTGTGGGACTTCCTGACACTTTTACTTGCTTTCCCTGGACCCGTCCTAGCCTGGTGTTCCTCTGTGGCACTTCATTCACAGGCTCTGAAGGAATGGGAGGAATGAAGAGCTGTCTGCAAACAGGCAAGGAATTGACCCAACAAGAGCTCCCCTTGGCACTGCTCTTTCTCCAGCATCAGGCCATAAGAGTAGTTGGATGTGTTCTCCATGAATCAATGTCTTCCACTTCCTTAAAAGTTGCCTTGGAAGTCACCATTACCAGAGCACAGACAGTTTCTCCTGGGAGTCCACCACCAAGCCATGGAATGTAGAGTGAACTCTCCTGTTTGCTGCACTGACACTGTTTTTCTCCTGGGAGTCCACCACCAAGCCATGGAATGTAGAGTGAACTCTCCTGTTTGCTGCACTGAAGCATTCCCTTCCTGCGGCACTGACACAAGCTGGGCTCTTTCAATGCAAGGACTCCACCAAACTGTCTGCCCAGGATTTTCCCCACTTCTGCCATTTCCCTACCTGCCGCATGTTTGTTGGCCTGTCTGTGGATCACAGTTACCAGCTGTTTATTTTTCTGAAAATTAAATAAATGTTTAAATTTTAACCTAGAAAAATCCCAAGCAATAGCATCTATAGATACGTGGTTTTGATGAGTTAGATAGATACTGAGAACATTAATATTCTTCAATGAAAATATAAACATTCTCATGCAAATGTCACCTGAAATCAGCTCCTCTGTTTCCAGGGCTTGGAAGATAGCACCTGAAGAGACTGGGCTGCTAACATCTCAGTTTCCACATAAAATACATAGCCTTGAGAAGAAATTGGCAAGTAGCATATTTAACAGGACTCAGATATCTTGGCACTGCGTGTTCTCCTGATGTTATTTTGTTGGTGAAAATTCTGTCTCCAAAGCCAGAATTACAGAAGCCCAGGCTCTGTTTCACAGCCCTCGGAGCCACTTCTTTCAAGGAGTGAGTAACCCAAGAGCAAGACCAGGGCCTTTCATACTCTACCTACACTCAAGAAAGAGACTCCAACCCAGGAGTCTCGGGGATATTTCCATCACTGGAAAATCCTTCCCACTCCTCTCCCACGGGGGATCTCACCCATGATGACAGCTACAAGGATCCAAATGGCCCAGATTAGGGTCTGGCTGGGGTGCACCCATTCCACATTCATCTATCTGGCCTGCCTGAATTTCTTAGATAGCCACAGCTGCTGCTGGCCTCAAAGAGCTTCAGCCAGGGACAAGAAAGGGCTTTCTGCTAGTAGACAAATGCCAAGCAGTCAGGCACAGGACACAGAGGGAGTAAAGAATAGCATCAGACCAGTATTTTCATAGGAATTGACCAAGCGAAACATTTCTGTTCTGATTTGCATAAGAAGTGGCTTATGATTAACTCTTGTGCTGGGAAAGATAATTTGGTAGGATTTGGATTTGTAGGATGGCAGAAATCAAAGGGATATTTAGGATCAGGTTAGACAAGGATCTCAAACTTCAATCCCTACAGAGGCTAAGAAGACAGCAAATCAACAGTGAATGAAAGCAGCTGGAAGAGATAATTAGGGAGTGGTGTAAAAATCAGACAATACATGCTTTCTCTAAGTGACTTCACTAAATGTTGAAACTGTAGGTAGGTTAAACCACAAGTTTATCATATGGCATTGGCTTTTAAAAATTACCATATGAGCTTAACATAGTATTTCTACTAACTTGAGTCATGATACTGGCCAGTTCTCTGCAATTCTGGCCTGGACTCGGCTCTCCAGTGTAAATACCAGTGAAAAGGACCAGGGAAGTGAAGTCATGATAAGCGGTTCTGCCAGGACCTAGCCTCAACACTCTGAGTGCTCACTGCAGTACTCTTTCGAATATAAGTCTCTGAGGAAGAGTTAGTGGATTCTGAGGAAGCCAGAGCAGGACTCAGGGCCTCACCACACTGCCCCAAGTGGCTCCCTGAGTTACCTACTAAAGGGCACACAATGAGGCTTCCCAATGATCGAGGGCTGAACTGGCAGAGTAAAAATTATCAGGGACAGTTATTGAAAAATGTATCCTTCTGCCCTACCCACTGGAAATTTGGAGATTTAACAACAATAGAAAGTTTGGGAAGCATCTATCTAATGTACAGGAGATCTCAAAGTAGTCACCTCCTGAGAGAGGCAGGACACCAAAGTAGGTATTTCATGCCTGTTGGATGCATGATTCAGTGTGACAGGCAGAAAAGGCTTTCTTTAAGGTCAGAGCCAAGGAGCTTCCAATGTGCTTTGCTCAAGGAAGGTGCTCCACAAACCTTTGCAGATTTGAAGCCCCCCAGCAAAGAATCTCTTTTTCCCCAATCCAACTCCATTCCTGAAATAATGCATAAAATGCCACAAATTGTGGAAAGAGGACTTCAACAGAATCTTAACTTACACGAGAGTTTGATTCAGCAAAAATCACTTATGTTTCAAATTGCCCCTAAAACCTAGTGACCAACAATGGGCAGCAGATTCTATGAGCAATGGTGGATAAAAACTGTGGACTTGAGCTAAGGAAGAAAAAGGTTATTTATATTACATATCTAGGTATTCAAACTGTCCACCTTGAGATAACCAAAATCTCTGGGAGTGAATGAGGGATGAGTGGTGTGGCTTTTGTCTAAATATTCCCCCAGAGCCTCGTGCAGTCAGAGGTAGGGGTTTTCAAAGATGGCTGAATCTAGAGTATGTGATTGATTCAGGGTGCAATGCTAGAATTAAGGGTGTTAGGATTAAGGGTAGGTGATTACTAAATCAGTCTATTGATTGGTTTGGCACTGCCCTAATCCTTGTAGCCTGGATAGAGCACAAGGGACAGAAAAAGGATTATCTTGTCCCTTGTTTTCTTGCTTTGCTACCTTTTGGCCACCATGAACTATTTCTCCTCTGCCATGCCTGTCTGCCATCCCATCCTACCCTGGAACCAGCCGACTATGGACTGAAAACACTACAAACTGTGAGCTAAATAAACCTTTTCCCCTTTAACTTTGGGTGTCAGGTATTCTGTCTCAGCAACAAGAGAAAAGTAACTAAGACAAGTGGAAATTTCTAAAGTGTTGCTAGCTTGCTTTCAGGTCTTGTTTAGGTTTAATATTAAGGATATAAATATCCTAAATGTTTACAGATGTCTTTGCTGTTGAGAGGATTCAAAGACTTGCAACTTTTTTAATGTTTTATTTTTATTTTTTATAGCATTGTTAATTTTACATATTGAACATATTATTGAAATTCAATAGGATATTTCAATTCATACATATAATTCACTGGTAAAATCCAGCCTTCATTTATAGTTTTTAAGACATCAAAGCACATAACTCATGTCCTGGCCATATAGTAGGTGACCAATAGTGTTTGCTAGATTATAATCTTAACCTTGCCTGCTAAGACCGGCCAACATACTGACTTTTTTTAAGCTGTGAAGAAGAATATAACTCAACACACCTTCTGTTATGCAGCCCTAAACAGTAAGTACGATGCTCTTACTTGTGGCTGTGAGACCCTTATCAGACACCTGAGTTCTACCTTGGTTCTGCCCCAGAACCAGCAGTGTCATTGAATAAATTCCTCTTATGATGACAACTGTGAAGACATTTAAGGATTATGCATTTCAGAGCCCAAACTTTGAGTGAGATTTCCAGACCTGACTACGATACCTGAAACATCCATATCAGGTGGAAAGACAGAGAAGATTCTGAGAAGAATGAGAAGATTGCTAACAAGACAAGTGACTGACTCTGAAAGCACTAATTTTGCCAACTCATAATAGTATCTGGGCTGACCAAGATGAAAAGATTCCAAGGACAATCTTCCCATTTGTCTACAGCATCCTTTGACAACTGCTATGGTTTAGATTTAGAATACCCTCCAAATGGCTCAGAGGCAGAGACTTTGGAAGGTAATGAGTTCATGGGGACACTGTACTCATCAGTAAATTCATCCATTAATGAGTTCAGCAGTAAGTATGCTACTAAGAGGTGGGGTCTGGCTAGGGATGGATCACTGGGGACATCACCTAAAGGGGTGTGTCCTCTTCCCCAGCCCCCCCCCCGCTTCTTGGTCATGATGAGGTGAGCAGCTTTCCTCTACTATGCCTTTCCTGCCTTGGAGCCAGCCAGCCATGGATTGAAACTTCTAAAACTGTGAGCCAAAACAAACCTCTCCTTCTTCTATTTGTAGGTGTCAGGTATTTTGTCTGAGAGGCAAAAAAGTGACTAAGACAGCAACCTAGGAGTTTCTTCACCAGGCTTCCTCTGCTGGTTGCCACTACAAAGATTCTCAGAACTGTATCCCTCCATCAAATCAGAAAGAATATTAATTCTTTATACTGTTACTGATTCAGTGGTTTTTGAAGTGTCTTTACATTTAGTACGTTGTTGTTACCTCCCCCGCCAGTTTGAATGTCTTTCTTCTCCAATTCCTTATCCTTTAAGGCAAATTCAACAGCCAGCTTTCCAGGAACCATCCCCAGTTCTCCTAAACTCTTTGGACCTTTGTTTTTCTAATATCTCTCATTTTCTAACAAGTTGTGACCATGGCTATCCTCCCTCTTGAGAGTGCACTTACATCTTTGCACGTGTCTATCTCAGCTTTACACACACCCTGGTGCTTCCCAAAATTAGCCATTGACCTAACTTCACAATTTGAACCATTCTCAAAACCAATATGGCTATTCATTTACTTGATAATTTTTGTTAATTAGATGGGTTTCTTAAAAAAACACATTTATCAAAGAAAATTTATATATCTAATGCAATGGTGATAGGGTTTTTAAAAGAGCAAAGCAGCATTTTTTCACTTCTATGCTCCTTACCCCTGGAAACTCTATGGTGAAATGATAGGGAAGAGTGTAGTAGATCCCACAAAGAGACAAGGAAACATGGAAAATCTGCCCCTCCTACAGTTTGGATCTAAGAAAGAAGAAGCTAATAGAGGTAAGGAATGCAAGGGCTGTTACAATGTCTCCTAACTCCCCTCTTAGATGGATATACAAGTGGGAGGGGTACTAGGCAGGGGAAGTGGAAGGCAACCCCGGCTACTACATCTCTGAGTCCACCTCAAGAAGCCACAGCAGAATAGAAGTTGTCTGGGCAGGCAGGAGAGATCTCAGGGGGTATTCTCACTTCCCTTGGATCCCCTACCCCTTGAAAGGGGCCAGACATCAGACAGTCTTAAAAGGATTTCAAAGGTGATCATAAAGCTGGGTAAACACTGGAGCAAGAAGAAGGACAGGGATATTAAGGGATCCAAGCGGTGATTTCAAGGATTGTGGGGAAAAAATGGAAGCACAGTCTGACCTGGGGTGGAACTCAATGCTGAATGCTAGGAAGGTAGGGGAAAATCAGTGGGCTTGGATCCTACCATTCCAAACCAATGCTTCAATGCAACCTCATTATCGCAACCACATCACTGCATCTCCATCACTATGGCCCCATCATTACTACTGTGCTCTATCACCGCAAGCTTACCACTGCATCTAGTGCTTGTTGCTTACATTTTTCTCTCATATAATATTTTGCCTTGACCTCCTCACCTGATGAAATCCACTTATCTTTCAAGATCCCATACAATGACATTTCCTTCACGCAGAATTCCTTATTTCCAAATACTAAAATTATTCTCATTATCCCTCCTATGCACTTCTTGAGATCTCTTATTTACAATATCTTGTTCATGTTCTCTAGCTGATCCAGCCACAGATTATGCTTATGCTGATGATGATGACAACAGTGACAACAGCTCTCATGCCAACTGTAAAACCTTAGCCCATTTGTGATGTAAGTCTCCATGGGACAATCATGTGCAGGTCCAGGATTACCTTGCATTAATAGAATACCACTTGAAGCAATCATAGGTCATGTGGCTATTTTCTGCCCTAGGATCTTCTCCCCATCAGGGAAATCACTTTTGTCTTTCCTCAAGTGATACCAGAATTACAGGACAGTTAAGCCCCAGAAATAATACTCAATAAAAAATGTCATGAGAAGTAGGAAAGCTCTGGAAGAAATCTGTATGCTGCTCAGTAGACAGAAGAACTAGAGAAATTAGAATCTCATTGCTCACAGAGCAGTTTCTATATCTGTCCCTTATCTTGTCCTTTGTCCCCTTTACTTCCACCTCTCTCCAAAGGATCATCACCTAAATAATCTACTTTCTTACCT